AGGGTTCCCACAGGAAATGGTCTCAGATAGGGGGACCCAATTCACGGCTGAGGTTACTCAGCAGTTATGGAGGATATGTGGCATAAAGCCGATCATTAACTCCGCGTACCACCCGCAATCCAATGGATTATGTGAGAGATTCAACGGTACCCTAAAACAGATGCTTCGAACATTCGGAGAGACCCATAAGGACTGGGAACGATTCCTTCCCCATCTGTTGTTCGCATACAGAGAGGTGCCCCAAGAGTCTACGGGTTTTTCCCCCTTTGAACTATTGTTTGGGAGAAGGGTCCGGGGGCCGTTGGATCTCATTAGAGAGCATTGGGAGGGAGAGAGTAGTGCAGATGGGACCCCTATTGTACCATACGTGCTGGCGTTCCGGGATCGCCTGGAGGAATTGACCCAGGCGGTGCGCACCAACCTCCAGGCCGCCCAACAACGACAGCGTCGTTGGTATGACAGAGGGGCCAGAGACCGTAGTTTTCAAGTGGGGCAGAAGGTGCTAATCCTTAAACCAGTCCGCACCGATAAACTACAGGCCGTCTGGCAGGGCCCATACCAGGTGGTAGAGCAGAGATGCGATACCACCTATGTGATCGGCCCATGCTCCGGAGTAGGGAAGAGACGCATGCTCCATGTGAACATGCTCAAACCCTACCACGAGCGGACGGAGGACGTGGCAGCTATTTGCACGCCCGCCTCCGAAGATCAGGAGAACCTGCCCCTTCCCGATCTGTTAGAGCAGGAGGAGCAGAAGGAACCCTCCCAGGGGGTTCAACTGGGGGAGCGGCTAAGTCCTCAAGAGCGTATTCAGGTACAAGAACTGATAGCAGCAAAGGTCGCTACCTTTTCTAATCTACCTGGGTACACTCCACTAGCCACCCACCGAGTAGAAACCCCGGGACAGCTCCCCATGCGACAGACTCCATATCGGATTCCTGAATCCGTGCGGGAACATATGAGGAAGGAAATTGAAGAGATGTTGCAGTTGAGGGTTATTGAACACTCAGATAGCCCCTGGGCATCGCCGGTAGTCCTGGTTCCCAAGAAAGATGGTACCACCCGGTTCTGTGTGGACTACCGGAGGTTGAACGACAAAACTGTGTCGGACGCCTACCCGATGCCTCGGATAGACGAACTGCTTGATAGGATGGCCAGGGGTCAGTATCTCACTACCATAGATTTGTGTAAGGGATACTGGCAAATTCCACTAGCCGAGGACGCCATTCCTAAGTCGGCGTTTGTCACCCCGTTTGGCTTGTACCAATTTCGAGTCATGCCATTCGGGATGAAGAACGCCCCCGCGACATTCCAGCGGATGGTGGATCGGCTACTGGACGGGTTCCAGGACTATGCGTGTGCATATCTGGACGATATTGCCATCTACAGTCAGACCTGGGCAGAACACCTACAACACATAGGGGCAGTAATAGATCGGATTCGAGAGGCAGGGCTTACCTTGAAACCCAGCAAATGCCACATAGGGATGGCAGAGGTACAGTACTTAGGACACCGGGTTGGTAGCGGGCAGCAGAAGCCTGAGCCCGCAAAGATTGAAGCTGTAGCCCAGTGGCCTACCCCTAGGACCAAAACCCAAGTCCTGGCTTTCCTAGGTACCGCAGGGTATTACAGAAAATTTGTACCCAACTACAGTGCCCTGGCCAAACCCCTGACTGATTTGACGAAGAAAAACCTGCCCCGGCAGGTCGTCTGGGCCCCAGAGTGTGAACAGGCATTCAACCAGCTGAAGACGGCTCTGACCAATGCCCCTGTACTGGCTGCTCCTGATCCAACTAAACGTTTTCTTGTTCACACAGACGCCTCAATGTTTGGATTGGGAGCAGTACTGAGCCAGGTCGGAGCCGATGGCGGAGAACACCCCGTAGCCTACTTGAGTCGGAAGCTGCTACCCCGAGAAGTGAGCTACGCCGCCATAGAGAAGGAATGCCTGGCCGTGGTGTGGGCCCTGAAAAAGTTACAGCCGTATCTCTATGGGCAACCCTTTTCTTTGCTCACAGATCACAACCCGTTGGTGTGGCTAAACCGTGTGGCGGGAGACAATGCCAGGCTGCTGCGCTGGAGTTTGGCGCTGCAGCCCTTTGACTTTACAATACACTACCGCCCAGGGAAACAAAACGGTAATGCCGACGGGTTGTCCAGACAAACAGACCTTGAGAAGTGATCTGTGAGCACTCCCCCGGACATCCCCAAGCCGATCCGTTGGGATCAGGCTGTGTATGCCGGCTTGGTTCTGGGGGAGCATTGTGGCAAACCTAGCCACTTGGACAATAACTAGAGACTGTGCCTTTAAGGGTTGCCACTAGGTCGGGCGAGATATGCGCTTTACACCTATGTAGATGTTAAGGTATTTTCCGTGTTGCCTGTAATGCTGTTTCCGCCGAATGCAAATGGCGGTTTTGTATGGGGATTTTCTTTCGTTTCACGAACGGCACTTTAGAAAGCCGTTCGTGAACCGAACGCGATACCCCCTAATAGCCCACACACTTAGAGGCGTGTGGCGCTAGTTAACCGATTGCAACATTGTTGCAATCGGTTATTAGAGGCTCTCCTGGGTGGCCGTCGTTCGACTACCGACCATGCGGCGGTCGGCCATCTTGGATCCCTTGTTCGTCAGCGGGTCCGTGTCGTCGAACGCATACTACTACCAATAGTTATTCGACGGCACGAACACCGCTGAGCCTCCCAGACGTTCGGGAGTTTCAGGACCAGGTTCACCCAAAGCAATCGGTTCCTTTTGTGGGTTTTGTAAGAAATGTGTTTTCTGTGCGGCGTTCGGTTAATTTGGCTGGGATCTGAGCGGCAATCTCACGAATGATGCGCCCAGACCCCAGCTATCTACCGAACGTCCATTCGTGTAAATCCACCGTGTATTTTAAAAGTTATGTATTTTTATATGAATTGCCGGTTCTGCTGCACGAGGGGATAATCCCCTTAACGGTGCATTCTGGGAGGATGATCCCTCTCGTGCAGCAGTGCCTGATGGGAGAAATATGTTATACTGTAAGTCCCCCATGTAGTCCCCTCTGGGAGTGCCCCTGGGAAGGGACTCAGGAAACCCCTTGCATGGGGACTTGTATAAATTGTCGTGCTGATTAAAGGATTGTCAGTTGACTCCCAAAACTGTGTCTCGTCCGGTTATTGGGAGGTTGGGGATATTGCCTTGGTGTTTTCAGCGCTTGACTGTGGATTCGTTCTGGACCAGCGGAATTCGTGGATTTTATATTGGCGTTCCGCTACAGTATTTGTTCATGCATTTATCCTTTGACAAATATTACTGACTATTACTGACCTTTTATCACTTTCCATCGTGCCAAAATTATAAACCATAATCTACACCTTTGGTCGGTGATATACCTTACTTGCCTTTCCTCACACACCTTACCCTTTTGCCCATTCCTACACTGGTGCTATGTATCCTTTAGAGTCAAGTTTAAAATCATTGCACTCACCAAGATCTGAGTAATCTTATCCCAATCAATATGTTTTATTTCACCCTTCTCATCCACTCTGCTCTGAAACTGACTATTGCTTGATGCTTATTTTTACTCACCCTTCCATCCCTTGCACCTAGAAGACTTCTCTAGAGTACTGTTCATCTGCATGATTCACTGTCAGCCTACACGTTTTTCTATCCTCAATTCTTTTACAACATCATTGAAAGCTCAATTTACCATACAATATTTCTCCCTACATCTGTCTACCCTAGTGTCACACTGATCAACTTTAAAACTCAAATGTAAAAAAATAGATTGCGAGGGATGATTCATTGGACAAATGCAAATGAGTAGATAGGAGCCTGATATACAACCCACCTTCAGAAATAATCACTTCTATCCCTAATTTGAGCAATTACACTATTTTTAATAATTCAACGTGAAGGTGGGTAACACAGACTTCTGGATGACCTCTCGCATCATTAAATCTCAACATTTATCTGTATAAATGTTTGTCATCACATCTGCTTCCTGGACTTGTATTCCAGTCTCATACAGTGAGCCAAGAATATAGAGCCAACAATAACTTAATTAACACATTCATCCAGTGGCACATTATTGACGTGATGAATAACTTAAAAAATACCGCACATGTATAAAATAATAAAAAAGAGTATTCATTTTTATTTTCTGTCACATCAAGCCCTATGAAGGCTTGGCGAGTTTTAATTCTTTTAATTATATAGTTTTATAAAGGTGCATTATGAGGGAAAGGGCAGTTAGCACATACATATCTAAGTCCATACCTATAAAAGAGAAGCGACTTAGGGTCCTAACTCCTGAGTACAAGGACTCGGATAATGATTATAAAATCACTTATCACACTTACGTACCCTACATTGTGTCCAGCCTTTTTCTTCCCCTCTCTCCCATCTTTTGTTAAAGGTGAGACTTCTATTCTAGTGCTCCAAAAAGGATTATTTTCTTGCCCTTACTCTTTCCTCTTTCCTATCTATTCGTACCTGATCCACAGTCAATGTTTCTGCCATAACTCTTTTCATCTTATCCATTACCCCTTTTTTCCCCCCAATTTCACATGTATTTCTTCCTAAAGTGTTTAGTTCTCTCTTTCATCCCCAAAACTCTCAGTCCGCCTACGCAGATTGTACCATTCCCATATCCCAATATCTCCTTCCCAAAAATGAATTAATTTTACTTCTACCTTAACCTTAAATTTAATTCTAATCTCCAACAAATAGTCCCTTATACCCAAGTAACATGTAGTCTTTAATACTACGAAACCATTTTCCTTTGATTTACTACTTTTTTCATTTCATCATGTCTCATGGCATTTGTGCTCAAATATGTTCTCTCTCCTTAATCCCATAGTTGGATCCTGTGAAGAATCACCCTCAATTTGTTTTTATTTCTCTCCCTGCTGTTGTATTCGTGAGATTTATTACCTGTATTACTGGTGCATTCGTTATTCGTTATTTTCTGTACGTTTAAATCCCTTGTTCGGTAAAATCACTATTTTACTGAACAAGGACCACCCTGGGTAGCAATTAGAACATAAAATCATGTGTAACCGCAAGTTAATTGAGAGTTCCCGGGTGGGCGCCATTTCGGGAGCCGAACATGTGGCGAAGAACAATGGATGGCGGCCATCTTAAAATCCCGAACGGCCAGTCAGCGGGACTTAGGCGTCGACCGCCTGGAACTATTTTCGGCATAGCCCTCCAGCATGACCCGGTCCCCCATGGAAGTCCCGCCTGACCTATTTCCACGAACTGGAAACAAACGGCGTTCGGGAAATTCAATCTACCGAATGAGGGGAACACTTTCCACGAACTCTCTGTATCTTAACCCTGGTAGTTTTCATGTAAATTGATGCGAACGGAGACCGGCTCTTAGTCCCAATTCCATGGAACTCAAAATCGGATACCAGCATGCATGGAGCCGGTCAAACTTCCACACGACGCGACACGAAAACTACCGAACGGATTTTTGTGAAATTTAAGTATGTTGCTCCCCAGACCAACAGCTACCCAGGGATATTAAAATTATTACTTTTCTGAAATTGTTGAAAACTGTAATGTTTCTGGCCAGCAGATAATTCAGCTTTGTATATTGTAGAAACTCAATTATCTAGCCTGGCCCAGAGGAGGAGTTTTGTGTTGCATAAATTGTGAGTTCTGTGTGCCAGTAAATCAGACTTGTTCCAGCATTAAGCCTTGGCTCATGTGTGGATTATTTGGTGATTACAGCAATATTTCTTCTCGTGGATTATTGGGATTACTCTGCTATTGGGAAAAGGAAAACTAGACGGTGATATTAACAACTACCGTCACAGACCCCTTTTTCAAACTCATATTCCCTTAACTCCCACCGTAACATTCCTCTGTATTTCCTTATCATTTTTATTTTCTGTCACCCACCAGTTAATTATTTACAGAAAATTCAACAAGGCCACACAAGAATATCTTAAACAAAAAAACCTAAAAGATATTAATGCTGATGAGCGAGCAGATATCTTTATAGAGAGACAGAGAACATCTCTACAATGTTTTTTTTTTTTTTTTCTTGGTGCCTACAGAACAAAGCATTAGGATATGAAGTTTAGACCGCTTACTCAACTTCATTTGTCCCTAGAAAGTTCAATGAATCATATACATCTACAAAGCATAGAGCACCTGCATTTTTAATATTTATTAATCAGCATCAGATGAATGTAGAGCAATTGGAGTTGATGCCCCAGGCCCAATTATTTAAACTGGCCAAAGCTTTATGTATGGCCGCAAAGTATAATTGCAGATCCAAGTATGATACATTAAATTTTCATATCTTATGTTATTATTTATTTTCTCAAATTTGGTAAAAAACATTTTTATTCTTTTTCACTGCCAGCATAGCAAGAAACATAAACAAGTGCGAGCCCATGGAATTCGCGGGATGCGTGACATTATACCAGTAGGTGCTGCACCCGGTCCGAGGGTTAAGCTTCTGTGTACCATCTTTAAGATTTTTAGATAACTGTTTTAAAAAGAACATCTATATCTAATCAAATAACAGTATTCAAAGCCACAGCTATTGTCACCTGCCAGTGTAAGTTTTTTATTAGCAAAAAGATTCATAAAATAATTTTTGCGGGGTTACTTTTGATATTAAACAAATAATTATTTTTTGTCAGCTGCAGGAAATTCAATGCTTCATCACATCGCAAGTATTGGGGACATTGTGCTAAGGAGATTTTAATTATAACATGTAAGTCTAGACAAACTTTATTTAATTAGATTAAAACAAAAACTTGCCAACATTTTGTGACAAATCAGCAGTCAAATTTATGACTAGTCCGCAATATAAATACATCCAAACTGTACAAGCATGAAGTGAGCATTTAATATTTTCATTTAATAAACACAACAGAGCGTGAAGAATTCCAAAACTGGTATTTTTTTTTCTCTCACTCACAGATTAGAAATAATTTGTGCTGTTTTTATTTTCCAACTTTTTTTCTTTACAAAAAAAAAATGATGCATAGAATGTAGATTTGAACAAAAAACATTAATAGAAATGAGAATAATTCTGAAAAATATGTACTACAAATGCATTCATCTAACTGTATTGTGCTTCAAGTGATTATGTGTGCAACTGCATTATTGGAATTTCCATTGCACACACATAAACATGCAACTGCAACATGCAATTTCAAAAGAGCCCAACCTTGACCCTAACTACACGTCCAACTACCGCCTTATCTCGCTACTGCCTTTTGTGTCCAATATCCTTGAAAGACTTGTGTATGTGAGATTAACAGACTTGCTCGAGTCCAATTCTCTGCTCGACCAACTTCAGTCTGGTTTTCGTGCTCAGCACTCTGTGGAAACGGCTCTGACCAAAGTATCAAATGGTCTACTCGCTGCAAAATCTCATGGTCACTACTCTATACTAATTCTCTTAACCTTTCTGCTGCTTTTGATACTGTTGATCATTAACAGCTTCTTCTCATCCTCCATAAGCTTGTTCTATGCAATATTGCTCTCTCCTGGTGCTCCTCCTACCTCACCCAGCGCTCTTTTCGCGTTTCTTTCTTTGGCTCTGCCTCTTCCTCACAACTTCTCTCTGTTGGTGTCCCCCAAGGTCCTTGGCCCCCTACTGTTCTCAATCTATACTACCTCCCTTGGTAAACTCATCAGCTCCTCTGGCTTCCAATATCACTTCTACGCAGATGACACACAAATCTATCTGTCCTCCCCTGATCTTTCCCCACCCCTCTTGACTAGTGTCTCTGACTGCCTCTCTGATATTACTAACTTCATGGCTGTCCACTTCCTTAAGCTCAATTTGTCCAAAACAGAACTTCTGGTCTTTCCTCCCTCAAGTGTTGCTACTCCCATTTCTGTCTCCCTCATGTTAATGGTGCTACCATCAGCTCCACTACGCAGGCTCGCTGCCTAGGTGTTCACTTTGACTCCGACCTTTCCTTCACCCCTCATGTTCAGTCTATCACCAAATCCTGCTGCTTCCATCTCAAAAACATCTGTCCCTACTTAACACCAGATGCGGCTAAGGTGTTGGTCCATGCCACTGTCCTCTCTCACCTTGACTACTGCAATCTACTTCTCAGTGGTCTTACATGCTCTCAACGTGCCCCATTGAAGTCTATAATGAATGCATCGGCAAGGCTCATCTTCATGTCCCCCGTACCTCCCACTCTGTCAGTCCCTGCATTGGCTTCCTGTAAGATATAGGGCTCAATATAAAATGTTGGTTCTTGCTTTTAAATCTCTGCATAATACCACTCCCACCTATCTATCCTCCCTAATACACAAGTATGTCCCATCTAGGCCCCTACGCCCGGCCGAAGACCTGCGTCTATCCTCAGTTCGTACTCCCACCTCGTATACAACACTTCTCTAGGGCTGCACCGTTCCTGTGGAACTACCTTCCCTTTTCTGTTAGATGCTCACCCAGTCTCCATTCCTTAATAAAATTATTAAAAACTCACTTTTTCGCAAAAGCATATCAATTAAACTGTTAATGGCTCCAAAAAAAAACACACTAAGTCTTCATTGAATACTATTCTACCAATCTACTTCCCTATTACTTCCCTTACCCACTCCCTCTAGCATGTAAGCTCATTGAGCATGGCCCTCAGCCTCTCTGTTTCTGTGCGTCAAACTTGTCTGGTTACAATTACATGTTTGTTAGTCCACCTATGGTAAAGCGTTGTGGAATTTATTGGCGCTATATAAATTTTATAATAATAATATTCTACAGTGCTTTACAACTATAACGTGGGGATACATAACAGCAAGTAATTGACAGACAAAATAAAGTTGACAAAACCCAAGATGCAAAGATGCCCTGCTCCAGCAAGCTCACGTTCTTCAAGCTCACGGTATTAGGGAACTATTTACTAAAAGGCTGAAAGACCTAAATTGGTCTTTCAGCCAAATTTACTAATACTACGTAAAGATTACTTAGTATTAGTAAATTATGCCCCTACTCGCTATACCTGTGGCTGCTCACTGTTAAAAAAAAAAAAGGTCCCCCCTCCCGAGCCCCCACTCGCGATGCCCCTGAGCGGCGGGTGGGGGCCCTAATGTAAAATAATGGGGGGACCTATTGTCCTCCCCCGGGGGCCCCCACCCCTGAGCAGCAGGTATGGGCCCTAAATCAGAATAAGGGGGGGACCTAATGTCCTCACCCCTGGCCCCCACTCCTGAGCATTGGGTGGGGGCCCTAAATTATAATAAGGGGGACCTAATATCCTCCCCCCTGGCCCCCACCCCTGAGCGGTGGGTGGGGGCCCTAAATACTAATAAAGGGGGGACCTAATGCCCTCCCCCTGGCCCCCACCACTGAGCAGTGGGTGGGGCCCTAAATACCAATAGGGGGGGACCTATTTCCTCCCCCTCGGCCCCCACCAGTGAGCGGCGGGTGGGGGCCCTAAAAAAATGTTAACCCCCCTCCCAGGTGACTAGGGGTCCCCAAACCCCTAGTCACCCCCCCAAAAAAAATATTAATCCCCTACCTCCCCTCTCACCCTAAAAATAATGACCTTTAACTAAGTACCTGTAAAAAAACCAAAAAACTTACCATTTGATGTTTTGTTTCTTCTAAAATCTTCTTTTTTTCAGCCCCAAAAAAGGCCAAATAAAAAAAACCATAATAACCGACGCAAAAAAAATATATTACACAGCGTGGGAAAGTTCTTTGGAATTTTCCCACGCTGTGTAATTTGACTCCTAACTCTCTGATTGGTGGATTAAGTAACCAATCAGAGAGTTATGAGTCAAATTACACAGCGTAGGAAAATTCCAAAGAACTTTCCCACGCTGTGTAAAATGACACAGAGCACTCTAATTGGTGGATTTCAAACCAACCAATCATAGTGCTGTGACAGGTAAATGTAGAGACTTACCTGTCAGTCCCTTCGTTTACCTGTCAGAGCACTCTGGTTGGTTGGCTTAAACCCACCAATCACAGTGCTATGAGCCTAATTGCAGTGCGGGGCAAGGCTTATAAGCCTTCCCCCGCCCTTCAGAGCTCAGTCTGTGCGGGGATCTCGCCGGGTGAAGATGGATTTTTTTTTTTACAGATACTTAGTTAAAGTTCCTCCCCTCATTATTTTTAGGGTGAGGGGGGTAGGTAGGGAGATAATTTTTTTTGGGGAGGAGGGGGTGACTAGGTTCCCCCCCCTTATTAGTATTTAGGGCCCCCACCCACCATTCAGGGGTGGGGGCCAGGGGGGAGGACCTTAGGTCCCCCCCTTATTAGTATTTAGGGCCCACCCACCGCTCAGGG